TGGATACACTTCCACGTAAATTAATTAAATAATAATGCAGTATCCTCAGGATTTTAAGGAAACAGAGGGAAGGTTCGCTCTCCCACCTACCAAAAAGTCCTAGAGAATAGGGAAGACACCTGCCTTTTGCATCCTCAAAAGGAAAAGTAGGCTACAAAACTGAAGCCCCTGTACGTCTTCCATACCTAAGAAATATCTCCTTTTATGTGTATATATGCATAAAAACTTCAATTTCCAGAGTGTTTCTCAACTACGTAAGTGTATTCCAAACTTTCTCTCCTCTTTTTAATGAGAATCCATGCCCATCATGTTACTGTTTTTGATGAGCTGGATCTGACTCCTCAAGGGTTTGGGCAGAAAAAGCAGCAAATTACTGCTATAGAGACTCAGGTACAACAAAACGTTGGTTCCTATGGTCTGTTTGTATCACGTGCAAAAGTCCAAATCTGATTGTAAAGATTACAGAATTCCAGATTTCTTGAAAAAATGTTATTTTATTTGTACAGTTAAAAAGTTGTACATAGAAACTTATAATACAGTTCTGTAAAGCTGAAAGAACTGTCAGGGAAAAGGGAGGGTGTTACTTTTTTTGATTGATCATTAAGGAAGTTAGAGGAATAAAAACATAGTAAAAGGTTTAAAACATTAAGGAACATTTTCCAGGTACAAATTTTATAAATACAAAACAAATTCACAAATTACTTTCAATACTAAATAAATATCTTGTTAACAAACTTGGACTTAATACCTGCAGCCAGCACTGGTACAGCACTTCAAGGATATGAGATTGGATTCATTCATGTATAGTGTTGAAAGAATGTACTCATTAAACAATTAAGACATAAACACCTTTTCTAAACTGTGCTATAGCAGAAGACTCATCCATGTAGATAACTCTCCCTTAATACCACAACTTTACAAAAAATCATCAATAACAAAATAAGTCATGGGTGAAAAAATATTTTCCAAGATCTCTGGCCACATGAATGATCTCAAAAATGTACAACAACCTCTGTAAACCAGTATTGTATCCAATACATCTATCAAACTTACTAGATACTGAACAAAACTGTAGCAAAGGACATCTTTCCTACATTCTCCTGAGTGCTTAATATTAAAACTGAGAATACAGTGCAGGCCACACTTTCATGTGGTCGATCAGCTGTTATTGCTTTATACATATATGTCTGCTTTAGAGCATGATTTAATGTTCCATTTTCATGAACAATTTGTTTTTCTTCAAATATATCCTTTAGAAGGACAAACTTAGATTCGTGACTTTTTCGCAGCCGGTGGTGTGCTAACTTGGTCCACATTACTGGGTGTGATGTGGAGTCCAAGCTTTTGAGCCTGAATATGAAAAAATGCTTGAAGTCTAGTTCCAGCTTTTGCCTCACTTGTGTTACGAGGGTTGTATTCAAAGCAGTTCGAAAACATTAACTCAATATCATCAATAAACTCAGCTAGAAAGGGAAAGAGAGCAAAAAAGATTAGAATGAAACTACATAAATTGCAATAAATATAATTATTGTATCATATCTGGAAATCTTAATAAAATGAAAGCCCACTTTTTTCTTTGGAAAGAGAAGACTCTGGCTAGGCATGGTGGCTCACATCTGTAATCCCAGCACTTGGGAGGCTGAGGCAGGAGGATCACTTGAGCTCAGGAGTTCAAGACCATCCTGGGCAATATAGCAAAACCCCATCTCTACAAAAAACAGAAAAATTAGCCAGTTGTGGTGGTTCAAGCCTGTAATCCCAGGACTTTGGGAGGCTGGGGCGGGAGGATCATTTGAGGTCAGGAGTTCCAGACCAGCCTGGGCAAGACAGTGAAACTGCATCTCTACAAAAAATTAGCCAGGCATGCCAGGCACAGTGGCTCATGCCTGTAATCCCAGCACTTTGGGAGGCCGAGGCAGACAGATCACCTGAGGTCCAGGAGTTCGACAACAGCCTGGCCAACATGGTAAAACCCCATCTCTACTAAAAATACAAAAATAGCCAGGCGTGGTGGCAGGCATCTGTAATCCCAGCTACTCGGGAGACTGAGGCAGAAGAATCACTTGAACCTGGGAGGCAGAGGTTGCAGTGAGCCTAGACTGTGCCACTGCACTCCAGCCTGGGCCACAGAGCAAGACTCCATCTCAAAAAAAAAAAGGAGAGGCATGGTGGCCTGCACCTGAGGTCCCAGCTACTTGGGAAGCTGAGGTGGGAGGACAGCTTGAGTCTGTGGGGTCAAGGCTGCAGTGAACCAAAATTTTGCCTCTGCACTCCAGCCTGGGCAACAGAGTGAGACCTGTCTCAAAAAAAAAAAAAAAAAGAAAAAAGATTCTGAAACAAGGTAGCAGAACTGAGGCTTAAAACTGTTTAACTGTAAATACTTAAAAATCGTTTTATTTAAACTATCCAATTATGTGATCATATACATTATGTGATTATAAAGAACTTCTTTGAGTAAGATCAGATCTATAAAATATCTTTAACTTACTTGATCCCAATCCACCTTTCATCCCCACATACACTAATAAGTACTTGTGGAACCTCATGGGATGCCATCTACACAACTGCATCAAGACACATCCTTTTAATAAGAGAAAAACAGCCTCTACCTCTTTAAACAAAAATAAGTATCAAAGATGCTATAACAGAATGCCTTAGAAAAATAAATATCAAAGAAAAACAAATTACTTACATGCTATTTTATATTCACATTTATTCACTTTTTCACGAATTATATTTAAGGCAATGGGCTTTTTGATGATGTCATAGTAGTCTGGGACCTGTAAAATAATTCAAATATCTCTCTCCACACAGAAAACTTAACTGGAAAGAAGTGTTCAAATAACTAAAAGTTTTGCACTAAAAAAGCAACTCAATATTAACCTCTGAATACTAGTGGTCTGCTAAAATCATGTAATATATTTTCAGTAAATACCATATTGTAGAAGCCTATGTGATATCATTAAAAATGTTAACAATTTATTGTGAAAAGAAAAAATGATCTTGCTCATGGGTCTCTCCCTTCTATGTAGATATATAGATATATATACACACATATGTCTATATAAGTATGTCTAAAGATCTCTTTCTATATATATCTGTGTGTGTGTGTGTATGTGTATATATATATACATACTCTGTCGCCCAGGCTGGAGCGCAGTGGCACAATCTTGGGTCACTGCAAGCTCCGCCTCCCGGGTTCATGACATTCTCCTGCCTCAGCCTCCCAAGTAGCTGGACTATAGGTGCCCGCCACCACACCTGGCTAATTTTTTGTTTTTTTAGTAGAGATGGGGAGTTTCACCATGTTAGCCAGGATGGTCTCTATCTCTTGGCCTCGTGATCCACCCGCCTCAGCCTCCCAAAGTGCTGGGATTATAGGTGTGAGCCATTGCGCCCAGCCCCAAACTGTTGGGATTACAGGTGTGACACATGCACCCAGCCAGAATACCTATTTTTTTTTTTTTTTTTTTTGAGACAGAGTCTTGCCCAGGCTGGGGTACAATGGTGTGATCTTGACTCACTGCAACTTCTGCCTCCTGGGTTCAAGCGATTCTGCCTCAGCCTCCTGAGTAGCTGCGATTACAGGCATGCACCACCATGCTCAGCTAATTTTTGCATTTTTAGTAGAGATGGGGTTTCGCTATGTTGGCAAGGCTGGCTCCTGACCTTAGATGATCTACCACCTTGGCCTCCCAAATTGTTGGGATTACAGGCGTGAGCCACTACACCTGGCCCAGAATACCTTTTATATCAGTGTTTCTCAAAATGTGCTCTCTGGACCAGGACCATCAGCATCATCTGGGGACTTGCCAGAAATCCAAGTGTCAGACATCATTCCAGACCTAATGAATCAAAAACTCTGGGGCTCAGGAATCTATGTTTTAGCAAGCCTTCCAAATGATTCTGATGCATGCAGTAGTTTGAGAACCACTGCTTTACATAAGAAAAATATGAT